GCAATGAAAATAACAAGTGGCTTAACGGTCATCTGAGGTCCCCGCAGGGTTATTGGGGAGAAATTGTTTAAACTATTTTTATGCATTTGACACCTATGACTGACCTTGAATGAATGTCATTCATTTGAGCAAACTTGGTAACCGTTCATTCAGGCATGCTACAGAGCCAACATCAAGTCCCTGGACATCTTCGTTATTGAAAAAGGGCACCAAGCACCCTTGGTTATTTGGTTATGGAGAAGAGATCGTTTAAAGATTTTAATATGTTTGATCCCTGTGACCTTGAAAGCACGTTAATGTCATTTTAACGAACTTGGTAGCCTTTTACCCCATCATGATACAGACTCAATATCCTCAGCCTGAACCTTTTGGTTATTACGAAGTCATTTAAAGATTTTAACGTGTTTGACACCTGTGACCTGGAATAAGTCAAAGTCATTTATTTTAACAAGCTTGATAGCCCTTTTTACATTCATGCTAAATGCCTAATATTCGCATCCTGTGTCATTTGATTACTGAAAGGAAGTCGTTTAAATATTTTAACATATTTGAATTCTATGACATTAAAAGTACACCAAGACCACTAGTATGAACAAACTTGACCCCATCATGCTACAGGCCCAATATCGCCATCATGGGCCTTTTAGTTATTGAGAAGAAGTAATTAGAATGTGGAAAGTTTACGCATTAAACTGGACGACGCATAAAGATGGACGAAACACGATGGTTATATGTCAACCTGACCCTTCAGGTCAGATGACCTAAAGATTGGCCTAACGTATTGTTTATTGATAATTCACAAAGGAAAAGTACATATTTTATCTGTATCTCTAAAAAATCGGTATACATTTCTGTACACACATCCTTCTTATTTGTCGATCTCCAAAAGTGACAACAATAACAAATAAGAAATGACGTTACAGAAAGTAGTTTTACATAAAAGGTAGACAGACTTTTGAAACTTAAATCGTAGCAGGATGGTCGCATATGAACTTCAGTAGAGCAAGAATAATTCATTAATTAAATATTTCTTAAAAGTATGTCGATTAATTAACATGTAAATAAATCTGAATATTCACGTCTTCATTGAAAAAGAAAGGTATAGATAAGCAACTTACCTTAAACTGCTTCAGAAGATTCCTCATCTGTAAGACACAAGTGAATAGTATCAGTAGATGTGTAAGTGTATTTCTCTGGTTTATAAACAGTGTCATCAGTGTCCTTACAATAACATTGGCTTAGCGACGTAGATATAATGTTCACTTATTTACTTCCGTAACCGTAAATATCTTTACCGTAAACAGAACACATGAAATAAAAGTAAATATAGAACACATGAAATACGTGCTATAACTTGAACGATGACCACTCAGTGACAAGACTCTAATTTAGGTATATCAGTATACTGAATTTATTAAAGAGCTTATCAAAACAGGTTATTTTACTTTCAGATATAGTAACGACGTCTTGTCTTTAAATAACAAAAACACGTATTATGGGTACCCATCAGAATTGGAAATAAAAAACACGTATTATGGGTACCCATCAGAATTGGAAATAAAAAAACACGACAGACTCTTTCTTCTACATCAGCAACTTATCTCGATATTTTCTTGTATCGAAAAAACATTGACAGCTTTCTAGCAAGCAGTATTCTAAACCTGTGGATTTTCCATTTCTGAATAGCAACAATCTTGCATCTCCAATATATCGTGTTTACATGTCGCAGTTGATTCTATATTCAAGGGCCGGATCCCATTATTGCGATTTTTATGCAAGAAGTCAAACTCGTAACACGGGGTTTCAAAAGATGCAGGTTGATGAAGTTTTACGGTCGTCATAGTGATCTCATTGAGAAAATTCTATTTCTATGTGAAATATGAAGCTGGACGTATTTGATGGTTGATAGTTTGCCTGTTGGTTCCGTTGTTGTATATCTTTCTCCCATTTAAGAACGTGACATTAATCACTTGGATAGACCCAGATTTACTCTTTTGGAACGCCTGGTATTATTCTAATTTTTCTTTTTGCAGGAGTCTCCGTGTAAATCTTTCTTTCGTTCGAATTTTGGCCTTTTGCCTTAATTTTGAGTTTAGATTGAGATTATGTTGATATGTCGGTACTCTTTTGTTTTAGGGGGTGACGTAGTGTATGTTCGATACAGATAGATTTCATACATGCGGTAAATACATAATAGAAAACGTAGATAAACACCCATTATTATCTAAAGAATGCTCCGTTCATATGACATATGTATTTTTAGACGCAGTCAGAATTTTTCACATATAGAATTAATTATTACCATGTTTTATTTTTACATATATTATTTTAGTGGAAAATCCTGACTGTGTCTCTAAGAAATGTTCACTACTGTTCTCGATTTTAGTGTATAACTTTGTAGCTGTTTTATGTTCTGTGTATGTGATGTACTCTATTTAATAGTTATGTCTTGATAATGGGGCAGATTGCCTCGAAAAATTGACAATTCACTTGTCCGTACTGTTGTTATTACTGCATTGATCAGTTCTATATATATATGTATAATATAGCGAAAATTTCTAATGGGACAGTATAATTTTAGGTGTTACGCCAGTTTTTCCTATTTATAACCATTCTTTTACACAGAAATGATTTTTCATTGACCCTTATCAATATTCTGGCATGTATCCAGGAGAATTCATTTAAAGCCATATTGTTGGTTTTACGTGTGCGTCTACTATTTTCGCTATTTATGTGATCAAGTCATCATCCTAGATTTATTATCTACACCTAAAAATAGGCTTCCAAGAACTATTGCGTTAGGGATAAGATAAGGAAGGGTTGACAGTCAGAAAAGCTTCCTTTTAAATACCCCTTTTTCTTAGATTTTAACTATTAACTATCTACAGTCCCTTTGGATTGTACAAAGATGGCTATTTCTTTATCAGAAAGATCGAAGTTAACACTAGCAAAACCTTCCCATTATTAACTTATTGATTAGTAGGAAAGAAAATTACAGTTTAGCCCAACTCTTTCGGTCTGAGAACCGAACACATCAATGTGGCCCTGGTAAGTTGTTCCGTTAGGTATACCTAATGGTTTGAATTGTCTACATGTGGGAGACTGAAATATCCCTGCAACGAAAGAAGATCAGACTGATTAACATGCTGACCCTTTGAAATGTACGGGAAATATTCAACAAACTCATTAAAATATCTCTTATTCTTTAGGGATGGTGAAATTTTGTCCCAATTTAGACTGAAACATTTATAGTGAAGATAACTTAATTTTGTACATGTATAAAGGATGAATCTGATCGGCATGTGGCAGAAGGATGGGCCTGATAGAGGAAATAGATGCAAATCTTTTATATTCTTCCCATTTGGTTTAGATGAAACAATTTCAGCGAACTACACCAGGTGAGCGATACAAACCTTATTGATCCCTTGTTTCTAGCTAAATATAATAGATATTTTACCTGGTGGTACGGCAAATCGTCCTGGACACCCAACCGTGTATTGATTCGAAAAATAGCTCTTGTATGTTCTTTGACTGATACACAATCTGATAAACAATGATAAATAAATAACGCTTACCTTTAGCTTGGGTGGACTGCGGACGTTAATTCTTCTTTGTTTATAATGTTTAGTATGTCGTCATGTGGTGCATATCTGTTCCTGTACTTACATGCTTTAGATTTCCTCGTCCTACGCTATAACGTCATAGTGTTTGTGTTCTATTTTCATAGCTTAGTTAATGATCTGTGATCATCTAGATCAATCATGCATTAAGTCCGTTCACGGGAAAAGTTGCATTTAAATATTTATAATACCCATTTAGTTGACTTGTTGCCTCGTCAATTCAATGTGGATTACATAATATAACGTACGTTTACACTGTTGTTGGAGAAGTCAATTGACTCGTGTATCGTTAACATTCTTACATTCGATTTAATTTAGCTCATCTTAAGTGTGAATCGATCATGTTTTAATTTCAGGAGTAATTCTAAATAATGTTTATGAAACAAAAACAAAACTGGCCAAGATGTCTCGAATGATTTAATGTATAAACTTGATCTGTATTTTTAAATGATAATATATGATCGAAACAATATATCATGTACCGTTGATCATAAGCATGCCCTGTTCTTTAATTCAACCTAAACTGTGATCAAATGGAATGAACAAAACATATTAACTTGTAGAAAGAAAACCATCATCGATATGTAACGGGGTGTAATAGATCACCAAGGCCTATTTATTTTTAGAGGTTCGTTTATTCCTTGACTTTGGTGTCATGAAACATAATTCGCCCTGTAACAAATATAAAATACCACATTTACACAAAGCATATATACTGTTTTGGGTAGCGTTCCATTTTGAGCAGCGTCACGTTACATATAATGAGTCCATGCAGGAATAAAAGACTTTTGTGTCTTCTATTGAATTTGTGATTAAATATTAAATCGCTGAAATTATAATTAAGATTAATATGTATCACTGTTATTTAACATGTACATTTTAGAAATTGTTATAAATCTGGATTTCCAGACAGTCATCCGGAATAAAAATGTGTATCGTTTTAAATTTTAGACTTTCCGTGAGTTTTCCGGTGTAAACAACCTTCTTCAACACAAGAGAGTAAGTATTGGGTTTCACAAAGTTATGCAAAGATCAATCTAATTAGATATATAAATGAAATTTGTATGTGTAAATGATCAAAAAGAACGACTATAGATGGTAAGCGTTGCTTTTTTGCGGCGAAATTAGGTCATCTTTACAGTGTTTTTGACTGCTGCTTGTAACCGTAGAAGATCATCATCATGTTGACTTTATTATGAAACAATTTCAGTACATTACAACAAGTAGATACCGCACAATGCTCATGAAGATAACAAATGGATATTTTATTTGTGCGATGAATATATGAATAATGAAGCTGAGCCGCGTTGCTTATTGTTATATGGTCCAGAGGTTAACTGCATCGGTTGATCGATTCCAAGGTTTTCGTCTGTATTTCAGCGAAGCGGTCAACGTGTGGTTTATAAGATATAAGCTTGAGCTTAATACCGAGGTAAAGCATTCGTCTGTTATCAAGGTATTTATAATATAATCAAAATATCTAAAGTATAGAATCACCATTAATCGGTCAATATATATAAATAACACTAAATAAATAAGTTTTTTAAATGAAATATTTTAGTATATAAAAATACTGTTCATGAGGTCTTAATTTCTTTCACAGTTCATTACTGCAGGTTCCGATTTTCTACTGGGGTTCTGCTTTGGACCTTGAATGGTCGAAATACAAGAATGGAAGAACTTGTTCTTCCCTTGTGCTATTATGGCCTGGAACCTGCTTGATGAGAAAATTGTCAACAGTGTCACCACCGAGACCTTCAGTGGCCTCTAGTAACAATTGCAAACATGCACCCCTCCCCCCAATGCGTTACATGTCTGTAACAACCCTGCATTGTAAACATACAGATGCTTCTACAGATAAAAAATTGGAGGGAAGATAACATTATTCAGTCTCGGTACCAGTTCTTAGCACCAGCATATTGTCATTTGAGAATTCCACTCAGGTGCCTGAAACCTCTGCTCATGATATGGTATCATGTAAATGTAGCTTGGCCTGAATGGCACCTATCCAAGGTGAGCCAAACTTCCTTCCTGAAGCTGTAGAGGTTGAAGATCCAGTACCATATGGCAGGCTGATGCACCATACTTGTCCAGGGGTCTAGGGATAGTATCAGATGATACAATTATTTTAAGGTATTAGAGAGACTTCAAAATTACCCAAACACAAACCAGATCTAGAAAGACGTTAAACTCCTTTCAGCTTCTGGACATGTTCTTACTGCTAGAATTAGGTTAAGGCAATATGAAGCCCCGGAACCATCAAATAATCAATGATCACAGCTACAGACAGTTCCATCCCAATGAGGGGGTTTCACATTGCCAGAACACTGACGTTCTACGGTGAGATGATACCCAAAACACTGAGACAAAAAACCTGTCAACAAACCATAGTTGTGTAAAGTATAATATATATTTACGTTGGTACATATTGTTGGTTGAATCGCAAAAGATTGTTGATATTCTAACTAAGTCCTAAGAAATAGCAGCACTCCGGTGTGGAGCCTTTTGACTTCATTTGGATAACTTGAATATATTTGCTTTTTAATGATGACAGGTTGAAAATTGAGGTAAAAATGACCAAATTAGAATTGATATGTAACCTTGGTAAATACTAGCTGCAATATAATACTCCACTAGAGAAAACTTTTCTTTAGCTTGATAAGTGGAGTGTCCGACTAGTAAGCAAGGGGTCGCGGGTTTGAATCCTAGCAGAGGAAATGAAATGAATAATGACCTGTATTACATTGGCACCCATATAGGAACTCAGGAATGATACTTAGCTTTGCCCCATTAGCATTGCTGTAACCCCTGAAAACTCAAGGACAAGTTATTTCCTGGTGGGGGAGTATGTAACCCTGGTAAAATACTAGTCGCAATATACCACTCGGCTAGAGAGAATTTCTCTTTAGCTTGATTTGTTGAGCGCCAGACTAGTAAATGAGGAGTCCTGGGTTCGAATGCTAGCAGAGGCATATGAAATAGCTAATGACCTGTATTACATATGTTAGTTCCTTTTTCTGACTACATGTTTACATCTATGCAAGAGATGGGGAAAGAATGTATTCCTGCTCTATCTGACTGAATGTTCATCTATTTACATCTATATGTTGCATTTGTTTAAACTTGGTGAAAATTGTGATTAAAAACATATGTCAAGCTTTTATTCATATATTCATGCTATTAAAAAGCTCTGTTTCAATGACTTTAAATATTTTATGTGCACAAAAAATGCAAATGATTGTGTATCTTTACATGTTGGTTTTAATTGTATTTTAATAGACGGAGTACAGTGGCAAGATCTGCAGCTTAAAGTTACTCAGTTTTACTGGTAGACAACATTCAAGATATTTTGCATGGCTACAACCAGGAGATCAACTGTACAGGATGAACTACACAAATTCCTAGTGAAGCACCATCTGGACTATAGCATGCTGTAAGTTCAGCATCAAACAAACACTGATCTGAGCAAGAGAAGACACTACGTTTAGTTACCGTAGCTACACAGTGTCACCATTAAACTATAGCTACACTGTGTCACCATAAAAGGTGTTGTGTACCTGTGTAAGGACATTGATGACAGGTGTTTTGTACCTGTCTAAGGACATTGATGACAGGTGTTTTGTACCTGTCTAAGGACATTGATGACAGGTATTCTGTAATTGTATAAGGACATTGATGACAGGTGTTCTGTACCTGTCTAAGGACATTGATGACAGGTGTTCTGTAACTGTGTAAGGACAGTGATGACAGGTATTCTGTACCTGTGTAAGGACATTGATGACAGGTGTTTTGTACCTGTGTAAGGACATTGATGACAGGTGTTCTGTACCTGTGTAAGGACATTGATGACAGGTGTTCTGTACCTGTCTAAGGACATTGATGACAGGTGTTCTGTAACTGTGTAAGGACAGTGATGACAGGTATTCTGTACCTGTGTAAGGACATTGATGACAGGTGTTTTGTACCTGTGTAAGGACATTGATGACAGGTGTTTTGTACCTGTGTAAGGACATAAATGACAGGTGTTCTGTACCTGTGTAAGGTCATTGATGACAGGTGTTCTGTAACTGTGTAAGGACATTGATGACAGGTGTTCTGTACCTGTGTAAGGTCATTCATGACAGGTGTTCTGTAACTGTGAAAGGACATTGATGACAGGTGTTTTGTACCTGTGTAAGGACATTGATGACAGGTGTTTTGTACCTGTGTAAGGTCATTGATGACAGGTGTTCTGTAACTGTGTAAGGACATTGATGACAGGTGTTCTGTACATGTGTAAGGTCATTGATGATAGGTGTTCTTTTACTGGTAAGGACATTGATGACAGGAGGTTTGTACCTGTGTAAGGACATTGATGACAGGTGTTCTGTAACTGTGTAAGGACATTGATGACAAGTGTTTTGTGCCTTTGTAAGGACATTGATGACAGGTATTCTGTACCTGTGGAAGGACATTGATGACAAGTGTTTTGTGCCTTTGTAAGGACATGGATGACAGATGTTCTGTACTTGTGTAAGGACATGGATGACAGATGTTCTGTACTTGTGTAAGGACATTGATGACAGGTGTTCTATAACTGTGTAAGGACATTGATGACAGAAGGTTTGTACCTGTGTAAAGACATTGATGACAGGTATTCTGTACCTGTGTAAGGTCATTGATGACAGGTGTTTTGTACCTGTGTAAGGACATTGATGACAGGTGTTTTGTACCTGTGTAAGGACATCAATGACAGGTGTTCTGTAACTGTGAAAGGACATTGATGACAGGTGTTTTGTACATGTGTAAGGACATTGATGACAGGTGTTCTGTACATGTGTAAGGTCATTGATGATAGGTGTTCTGTAACTGTGTAAGGACATCGATGACAGGTGTTCTGTAACTGTGAAAGGACATTGATGACAGGTGTTTTGTACATGTGTAAGGACATTGATGACAGGTGTTCTGTACATGTGTAAGGTCATTGATGATAGGTGTTCTGTAACTGTGTAAGGACATTGATGACAGGAGGTTTGTACCTGTGTAAGGACATTGATGACAGGTGTTCTGTAACTGTGTAAGGACATTGATGACAGGTATTCTGTAAATGTGAAAGGACATTGATGACAGGTGTTTTGTACCTGTGTAAAGACATTGATGACAGGTATTCTCTACCTGTGTAAGGTCATTGATGACAGGTGTTCTGTAACTGTGAAAGGACATTGATGACAGGTGTTTTGTACTTGTGTAGGGACATCAATGACAGGTATTCTGTAACTATGTAAGGACATTGATGATAAGTGTTCTATAACTGTAAGGACATTGATGACAGGTGTTTTGTACCTGTGTAAGGACGTTGATGATAGGTGTTTTGTACCTGTGAAAGGACATTGGTGACAGGTGTTTTGTACCTGTGTAAGTACATTGATGACAGGTGTTTTGTAACTGTGTAAGGACATTGATGACAAGTGTTCTGTACCTGTGTAAGGACATTGATGACAGGTGTTCTGTAATTCTGTAAGGACATTGATGACAGGTGTTTTGTACCCGTGTAAGGACATTGATGACAGGTATTCTGTACCTGTGTAAGGACATTGATGACAGGTTTACTGTTTCTTTATAGTAGAAATGTTATTGAGAGGTGTATAGCTTTGTATAAATGTTATGAAATGTGCTTTGTCTATAAATTTGGATGAAGATGTGTCATTCCTTGTAGGGATATTGATGATGTGGTGTTGGACTATGTGATAACCATATTGGAGGACCTTGGTAATGGGCAGGATGCAGAAGAGAATATCGATGTGGATCAGTTTGTAGAGATGATGGATGCTTATGTTCCTGGCTTTGGAGAGATTACAAGGTAACAGGTCTGTCAATGCCCATGTTCTTACTGATTCACAAATAATAGATATACCTCCCGTAATTCAGAAATCTATTGCATTCAAGTTTCTTTGTTTTTGTTATAGTGTGGATATCTGTGAATGGATGTTCCAACTGGCCTCAAATCTTGTTATGAAAGAAACAGGTATGGAGAATCAATCTAAATCCATTATGATCTGTAATGTTTTCTGAAATAAAAGTAAATATATATCAAATGTTTCAGCTTTTATACCACTAACTAGGTTTACTGGGGTATATAGTAATCACTAAGTTTACTGGGGTATATAGTAATCACTAAGTTTACTGGGGTGTATAGTAATCACTAACTTAGTTTACTTGGGTATATAGTTATCACTAAGTTTACTGGGGTATATAGTAATCACTAAGTTTACTGGGGTATATAGTAATCACTAAGTTTACTGGGGTATATAGTAATCACTAAGTTTACTGGGGTATATAGTAATCACTAAGTTTACTGGGGTATATAGTAATCACTAAGTTTACTGGGGTATATAGTAATCACTAAGTTTACTGGGGTATATAGTAATCACTAAGTTTACTGGGGTATATAGTAATCACTAAGTTTACTGGGGTATATAGTAATCACTTAGTTTACTGGGGTATATAGTAATCACTAAGTTTACTGGGGTATATAGTAATCACTAACTTAGTTTACTGGGGTATATAGTAACCACTAAGTTTACTGGGGTATATAGTAATCACTAAGTTTACTGGGGTATATAGTAATCACTAAGTTTACTGGGGTATATAGTAACCACTAAGTTTACTGGGGTATATAGTAACCACTAAGTTTACTGGGGTATATAGTAACCACTAAGTTTACTGGGGTATATAGTAACCACTAAGTTTACTGGGGTATATAGTAACCACTAAGTTTACTGGGGTATATAGTAATCACTTAGTTTACTGGGGTATATAGTAATCACTAAGTTTACTGGGGTATATAGTAACCACTAAGTTTACTGGGGTATATAGTAATCACTAAGTTTACTGGGGTATATAGTAATCACTTAGTTTACTGGGGTATATAGTAATCACTAAGTTTACTGGGGTATATAGTAATCACTTAGTTTACTGGTGTATATAGTAATCAATTTACATCAGAAAGCAAATTAAAAGCTTCATGTTTAAGATATCTTTCATAAGGTTTATGTTTACTCGTAGGTATCACATTGTTAAGTTCTACACCTAACTTTATTTTAATGATCATCGGTGAAGGTTGAAGAGTTAAAGATCATCTATGGTTTCTTTTGAAATGTAAAATTATTTTGAACAAGATGTCTTCTAAACCCTTAAGCAGATTTAGGTTTGACTTTTACTGCAGCCAATGTACCAACAAGACAAAGACAAACCTCTCTCAGTGATGACCTCCTAGAAGCTATAACTGCCTCGACTGGTGACACAGAAAATGCAAACTGTGCACAGGTAACAGTTTTCTTTGCTATAACATGTCAGACAATGAGGTAAACAGGATAGGATATAGATACACCAGGCCCCTTCAGGGAAAGCCATGTCAGACAATGAGGTAAACAGGATAGGATATAGATACACTAGGCCTCTTCAGGGAAAGCCATGTCAGACAATGAGGTAAACAGGATAGGATATAGATACACTAGGCCTCTTCAGGGAAAGCCATGTCAGACAATGAGGTAAACAGGATAGGATATAGATACACTAGGCCTCTTCAGGGAAAGCCATGTCAGACAATGAGGTAAACAGGATAGGATATAGATACACTAGGCCTCTTCAGGGAAAGCCATGTCAGGCAATGAGGTAAACAGGATAGGATATAGATACACTAGGCCTCTTCAGGGAAAGCCATGTCAGACATTGAGGTAAACAGGATAGGATATAGATACACTAGGCCTCTTCAGGGAAAGCCATGTCAGACAATGAGGTAAACAGGATAGGATATAGATACACTAGGCATCTTCAGGGAAAGCCATGTCAGACAATGAGGTAAACAGGATAGGATATAGATACACTAGGCCTCTTCAGGGAAAGCCATGTCAGACAATGAGGTAAACAGGATAGGATATAGATACACTTGGCCCCTTCAGGGAAAGCCATGTCAGACAATGAGGTAAACAGGATAGGATATAGATACACCAGGCCCCTTCAGGGAAAGTCATTCGTAACATCTAGGATTTGATTAAAGGCTAAGATAAATAAACACAGAATTTTTTTTAAAACAGTGTAAGTAATTGACAGATGTTGACCACCATGTTGAACTCATTTGAGATATCACAAGTAAACAGCAATTTACCAAATTTGGTCAAAATCTTTTAAAAAATATTATAGTTATATGATGGAAACAAAGAAATTTTCTATTTCAAGGATTTTTAACGTCTCATTACCCTGGCAAATATTCATGGATTTTGTCTAGTATCCAATTCATGAATACAAGAGATCACAGAGAGATCTTTGTGCCCACCATTGTTTCATCTTAATTGGTTCTTTAAAAGTCGAATCCTTTCCCTTTCTCTCTTCTTTTCATTAATTTGCCCTTATTTACATGAAATTGGAGAATTCCTCTCAAGATGGAAAGAGGAAAACTACATTGAAAATTAAGAAAAACATCCCTTCAGTACTTCTGAAGAAATAGCGATAACAAACCTAAATTTCAAGATCTAAGATGGACCCCTCTTCAGGATTTCATTTCCCTGATCTGACTGAAAATGAAATGGGCACAAGTAGGAACAGAGAGAAATCTACGTAAGAAATACACTAGATAAAAAACTACATAATGTAGGGCCAAGGGAAGCTAGCATATGAAATCTGAGACAGATCCATCCAGTACTTCTAAAGAAATAGCTCTAACAATCTTTTATTGTCAAAATCCAAGATGGCAGTCTGTTGGTCATTTTTTTTTCTCTCAAGAGTCTCAAAATTGAAAGGGCACAACTAGGGACCAAGGGGTCTCAAATATGGAATTTTAGACAGATCTGTTCAATACTTCCAAAGAAATAGAGATAATATTTCATTGTCAAAATACAAGATGGCTACCCAGTAGCCATTTTGATTTTTCTGATCAGTCCCAAAATCAACAGGACACACCAAGGGACTAAGGGAAATAGATGTTTGAAATTTGAGAAAGATCCATGAGGTAATTCTGAAGATATAGTGATGAAAATATTTCTGAATCATAATGGCTGTCTGTCAGCCATTTTGTTTTTCTGATCAGTCTCAACTTAAAAAGGGTACAACTATGGATGATGAGGTCCCTACATATATTCCATCCAGTACTTGTTCAAAAAACAGTAATAACAAATTATTTCTGTCTAAATCCAAGATGGCGGCCCGTCAGCCACATTGTTTATCGAATCATTCCGAAAGCAGGATAATTCGCAAAGGATTTAGGGGTCCCTACAAATGAAATCTAGAAAGATACAGATAGAAATAACAATAACAAACTACTGTCATAATCCATGACAGCCACCTGTCAGCCATGTTGTTTGTGTATTTTCAAGTAAAAATATTGCTTCTCACAGGAAAAAGACCGAGATAAAACAGAAGAAGAGGAAAGTGATGAAATGAAAATGTTACGAGAAATGTTTCCAGCAGCTTGTACAATGGAGGTGACCCACTGTCTTGGACTTGCTAGTGGGGACATGGAAAACACCATACAACTGATACTTGACAGACAAGAGTCCGGGGAGAGTATAAAACAGGTCTGTGTTACAACTGACAAAGGACAACAGGGACTGTACAGCTCACACACCATATACATAAAGGGATTGTACAGCTAACAAACCATATACATAAAGGGACTGTACAGCTCACACACCATATACATAAAGGTACTGTACAGCTAACACATCATATACCTAAAGGGACTGTACAGCTCACACACCATATACATAAAGGTACTGTACAGCTAACACACCATATACCTAAAGGGACTGTACATCTAACACACCATATACATAAAGGTACTGTACAGCTAACACACCATATACCTAAAGGGACTGTACAGCTCACACACCATATACATAAAGGGACTGTACATCTCACACACCATATACATACAGGGACTGTACATCTAACACACCATATACATAAAGGGACTGTACATCTAACACACCATATACCTAAAGGGACTGTACAGCTCACACACCATATACCTAAAGGGACTGTACAGCTCACACACCATATACTTAAAGGGACTGTACAGCTCACACACCATATACATAAAGGGACTGTACAGCTCACACACCATATACATAAAGGGACTGTACAGCTCACACACCATATACCTAAAGGGACTGTACAGCTCACACACCATATACATAAAGGGACTGTACATCTAACACACCATATACATAAAGGGACTGTACAGCTCACACACCATATACATAAAGGGACTATCTCGTTCACACACCAGACATAGAAGGACTATATTTCATACTGCACTGATATACAGGGGCTGTACAGCTCTTACACACCAAACATAGAGGGGCTGTACAGCTCTTACACACCAAACATAGAGGGGCTGTACAGCTCTTACACACCAAACATAGAGGGGCTGTACAGCTCTTACACACCAAACATAGAGGGGCTGTACAGCTCTTACACACCAAACATACAGGGGCTATACTACTCTTATACACAAAACATACAGGTGCTGTACAGCTCTTACACACCAAACATAGAGGGGCTGTACAGCTCTTACACACAAAACATACAGGGACTGTACAGCTCTTACACACAAAACATACAGGGACTGTACAGCTCTTACACACAAAACATACAGGGACTGTACAGCTCTTACACACAAAACATACAGGGACTGTACAGCTCTTACACACCAAACATACAGGGGCAGTACAGCTCACTTGTAACAACGTATGATTGATAGACCCTAGTGTCTGTTTAATATAATGCCTATGTTCTATTAATTGTTTAGGTGACTGAAAAGGTGAAGAAGAAAACAAAAGTATCTGTTCTGGATGACAAGGATTTAAAAGACACCCTGATAGCCAGGTATATAGTGGTGATGTTGATGCCTCTCTTATTATTGTTAGGAAATATTCAATGCAGTTAATGAAAAATCAGGAATTTGGTTTTCTTTTGCTAGCCTAAACATAAAAAAGACATGTTTGTATTGTAAGTAATACTGCTGTTCTGTGTTAGAGCGACAAAGGAGTTAATTCTGGACTATATACAAGTGTACTTATGTAAGTGATTAATACTGCTGTTCTTGTTAGAGCGACAAAGGAGTTAATTCTAGACTGTATACAAGTTTACTTATGTAAGTAATTGGATTTAATCACATATTTCAGGTATTCTTATGTTGATGCTGATGAGGATAAGAAAACTTTCAACCCTCTCGCACCAAAAACTGTAAGTAATTTATTACCTGTACATAGCTATCACTGAAATCATATGTTGTCCCTAGTACTGTTGATATTTGTTACCTGTACATAGCTATCACTGAAATCATATGTTGTCCCTAGTACTGTTGATATTTGTTACCTGTACATAGCTATCACTGAAATCATATGGTGTCCCTAGTACTGCTGATATTTGTTACCTGTACATAGCTATCACTGAAATCATATGTTGTCCCTAGTACAGTTGATATTTGTTACCTGTACATAGCTATCACTGAAATCATATGGTGTCCCTAGTACTGCTGATATTTGTTACCTGTACATAGCTATCACTGAAATCATATGGTGTCCCTAGTACTGTTGATATTTGTTACCTGTACATAGCTATCACTGAAATCATATGTTGTCCCTAGTACTGTTGATATTTGTTAACTGTACATAGCTATCACTAAAATGATATGTTGTCCCTAGTACTGTTGATATTTGTTAACTGTACATAGCTATCACTAAAATCATATGTTGTCCCTAGTACTGTTGATATTTGTTAACTGTACATAGCTATCACTAAAATCATATGTTGTCCCTGGTACTGTTGATTTTAGTAGAAATTAAGGTCAAGGTTAAAATTCTTGGGTCACTCTTGTGTGTCCGTGTGATATCCTTGTGTATTGTATAACTCCTGAACTCACGGACAGATTAAGATTTATTCACACTGTACCGACCAAGGTCAACAATTAATTAGATTAGGTCATTCATCAACAATAGATGTCATAGGTCACCTTTGACTATTTCTCTAATAAAAACTTTGTGAACAATGTACCTCATAAACCACTAGACAGATTTAGATACTGTTTCATACAATGTTTATATGTGTTGATATTAGAAGTAATATGTGTTTGAACGTTCTTGTATTTACTGTTTCAGGAATCAAAGAAAATGGTGCGGTATCTGGAGAACAGAATTGTTTCGACTAAAGGTGAAAAATTCACAGAAGTCAAGAAGGCTGAAGATGAGGATATGAAAAAAACTTATGTAAATCTCAAACCAGCTAGAAAGTACCGGTTTCATTGATAATGATATCTATGAACAAAACAACTTTGTTTCCGTTGTAAACAGGAAAAGAAATCAGTTTAGTTATTGGTTCTAACCTTACTGCTTCTAATAAATGTATTTTAAGCTGTTTCTAGTCACTTACACTGTGAAACAAAACATCATGAATTTTCTAGACATATTTAAGCCTTTGCTAGAAGTTTGCTTGCAACATTCACTTTTATATAAAGTAAAGTGAACAAGTTATATACATGTAGGAACATAAAAGTTCTACAAGGATGTGTGTTTTATTCATATCATTCACATTTAGCTTGTATCTAAAAATAACATTGATGTTTTATTGTATCAATGTCAGAAGTACTACACTGGCATGTAAAACTCATTAACCACCGAGAAACTGACACAGTATCTGTTTGATAGGCTGTGTAACTCTCAGTTCCAATACTGACCTTAGAGACTCTCTGTACATCATTGTAGCGCAGTGCTTTTTAAGGTTGATTACTGTGAAGTTGTTTTCCAGTCAATTGCTAGAAGGATAAAACGCCTAAGGCAAGGACTCAGTGTTTGTCTTTCTGATGTATTTTAAACAAGTATTTCTCCTCACCCAAAAGGCTCATGGTCATGATATTAGATATTTAGTCCAAAAGCAATCTTTGATAAACAGCTTCCATTTTTGTTCAGTATGGTGACCTTGACTTACATTCAAGGTCACATGGTTTATGCAATAAAATCTTTATATGCAATAACCATAAGCCCAGGGTTGTAATATTCCACTAATAACTTGTTAGGGTTAAGGGCTTTTCTATTTCTTCAAACAAATGATTATGACTCGATTTCATGATCACAGGGGTCAAAGATGTTTAAATTTTCAAACAACAATTTCCCAATAACCAAAAGGCCTCAGATCACTTTAATTGGCTCTTAACATACCAGTGTAATGAGTTTTTAAGTTGGCTCTATCAACAAAGTTGTTTCTGAATACGATCAGGGGAGTAATAACAGGCCATTTGGGCCTCTTGATTTATTGACTTAAAGTGTCCTAAATAAAAAAAACCCACTAAATTTACGATGATAACCTTTTTACATTTTTATACTATGGATGGGAAGCTCAGAGGGAATAACTTCTGATTCTAGATCATTATGAGGGTGGGGCCAGTAGTTTGACATTCCACAAAGATTTAAGTCTTCCTACTATCATTCTATTGTGAATTGTACCATTCATTTCCACCATTATAAATGTGATGTTTTTATACAATAATTTTAATTCTCACTGACTGTTTTTTCATTGAGGAAATAAAGATATTGGAACATGTTTAACAAATTTGAGTTTTCACATTTTTACTTGAAATACAACCAAGACAACAGCTGTGAGACAGAAACTACATACTAACCATTCCATCTGATTTTAGGCTCACTTCACTCAACAGAAATTAACAAAATTAATGATTCACACAGTTGTATAGGAAAGAGCATTCAAATATACCTAACTGATGTAGAAATTTGATTAAAACTTTATGAAATAGTAACATTTATTTTAAACAGGTGCTCCTCAAGTTAAGAAATTATGAAGTATTGTACATCACATTTAAATGTCATTGACTTCTGATGCTGAATAAAAGTAAAAATGTTGGTGCTCTCTTATTAGATATATGATGAAGCATTAGATATATGATGAAGTAAGAATTAGATAAATGATGAAGTGAGAATTAGATATATGATGAAGTAAGAATTAGATATATGATGAAATAAGAATTAGATATATGATGAAGTAAGTATTAGATATATGATGAAATAAGAATTAGATATATGATGAAGTAAGAATTAGATATATGATGAAGAATTAAATATATGATGAAGTAAGAATTAGATAAGTGATGAAGCATTAGATATATGATGAAGTAAGAATTAGATATATGATGAAGTAAGAATTAGATAAATGATGAAGTGAGAATTAGATATATGATGAAGTAAGAATTAGATATATGATGAAGAATTAAATATATGATGAAGTAAGAATTAGATAAATGATGAAGCATTAGATATATAATGAAGTAAGAATTAGATATATGATGAAGTAAGAATTAGATATATGATGAAATAAGAATTAGATATATGATGAAGTAAGAATTAGATATATGAAGTAAGAATTAGATATATGATGAAGTAAGAATTAGATATATGATGAAATAAGAATTAGATATATGATGAAGTAAGAATTAGATATATGAAGTAAGAATAAGATATATGATGAAGTAAGAATTAGATATATGATGATATAAGTAAGAATTAGATATATGATGAAGTAAGAATTAGATATATGAAGTAAGAATTAGATATATGATAAGAGATATAATAAGAATTAAATATATGATGAAGTAAGAATTAGATATATGATGAAGTAAGAATTAGATATATGATGAAGTAAGAATTAGATATATGATGAAGTAAGAATTAGATATATGATGAAGTAAGAATTAGATATATGATGAAGTAAGAATTAGATATATGAAGTAAGAATTAGATATATGATGAAGAATTAAATATATGATGAAGTAAGAATTAGATATACGATGAAGTAAGAATTAGATATATGATGAAGTAAGAATTAGATATATGAAGTAAGAATTAGATATATGATGAAGTAAGAATTAGATATATGATGAAGTAAGAATTAGATATATGATGAAGTAAGAATTAGATATATGATGAAGTAAGCATTAGATAAGTGAAGTAAGCATTAGATATATGATGAAATAAGAATTAGATAAATGAAGTAAGAATTAGATAAATGATGAAGTAAGAATAAGATAAATGATGAAGTAAGATAAATACATACAGTTTTGATAAACTTTGCTATTTGTTAAGAAATGCCTGACAAATTTCCATAAGGCCTGGTCTTCTTGTCCAAGCAAATTTATTTCTTTTACTACAATGATAAAGTCATAATTACCCTGTCATTGATTTTCTGATAAGAGGAACTTTGTATTCTTTGTTGTGGAAACTTTTCCAAGTTGTTTCACGGGAATAGTGGTTTTTATCGTGAAGGATACACAATGACTTTGATGGGAGGAGTTTTGTTACTTTTCCAGCATCATTTTAAACACTTGTTTTGCGTATCTCCAGCTCTAATTGTCCACATACATTCCATATAGCATGAGCATACAGTGGAAATGGATGAGTTACGTGTAGAAGGGACTCCTCTAACTTATCCTTCAGTTCCTGTAACATGGCATGATCTTTAGTCACAAGGCTGCTGTGTTCTTCACCCAGAACAATATGAAGGAGTTGGATAACAAATATGATGTTTTCAAACCATGATACCTGCATTGATTTGTTGCTGTTGCAAACACCTTGTAAATGTTGTGAAAATTTTTGTATCTCCTCAACCAAAACTTCCAGAGTAATTCTTGTTATAGGTGGTTTTGAGAACTCCAGCACCAGACTTCTACATAGATGCCTACTGTTTCTCTGAAAAATTATACTGATTTATTTAAACAGTCAGTATTACTTCACCAATTCACTGAAAAAATTACTATTACTGTATTAAAAGTGCATTCTATTTTTTTGTCTGGGAATATAATATAATCATTAAAAGGACACCTAAAAAAATTCTTGTAGAAACTTAGCACCTACCTGCATGGTATGATCTCTATTGGGTTATTGTATGTTCTGATCTTTTCTCTTCTTTCATCTTTAATCAAGTGGCAGAATCATTCAGTAGGAAAGCTAAGATTTTGTTTTATATTTCCAACCAATTTCAAAATTTAAAATGCACAATTAGGGACAAGGGTACAACTACATACAAAATACCCAACAAATATCTGATGGAGCTAAAATGTGGCATTCACGTAAAAGAGCTCATTTTTAAAAAAAAAGGTGGAAAGAACTTTTAATGTGAAAATTGCAAATGACCACTGGCCGCCATCTTGAATATACAATAAAATTTTTAAAAATGGCATGAATGTCTTGGAGCAATACTTAAAATGTGAGTAAAGTTTTAAGGATATTCAAAGATCTTCAATAGAATTGGTAACAGGGTAACACAGAATTGATTTTAGTGCAAACAGATAAAAGAGCTGCAGGACAGACCACAGTGAAAAAATGCTGTGAAAAGCTTGACATTAAATAATGATGTACTAAAAAAACTGTGTTGGTTTTCCAAAAAATATGGTAGGTAATATTAATTTACTTTTATTAAATGTGAATATAACTGGAAAATTTTGCTTATGAACGTTGTACGTATTTACCTGTGAATTTTTTTTCTTTGGAAAACTAGCTTTGAACTTTTAGAATTAACATTTGAACAGCTAACAATGTAAACCTGTACTGTGAAATGCTCAACATTTTGTACCTTTGACAAACTGTTTGAACACAAGTACAAATTTTGAAAATGTACCAGAATGTACTTGTGAAATATTTTCTTGAAAATTGTACATTTGAACACCAATTACTTGTGAAGGGTTTATAGAATTATTGTACCTGTCTTTTGGAGGAGTCCTCCTTGATGTCAAGTATAAAGTCCACCAGACATTTTACTATGTCCTTGATGAGAGATGAAACAGCTGTGTTGCAGGCAAGGGCAGGTAAGTGATCCATCATTTGTAATATACACTGTGTACAGTGCAGTAGGGACTTGGTAGACACTGTGACTGTCTGATCCTGTATGCATTTCCGAATTGTCTGTAAGCTTTTCACTACAGTTGTGTGATATAAGTTTGTTAGTGATTTCAGTTTTACTGTGAGAGCTGAATGGTCTTTCTCTTCGACTTCACCGCTGAGATTTCCTCCTTGGGACCCCTGCCTGGTGACCTGTTGAATGTTTATTACACTCTGTAAGAACTGGGTGTTGCTATGGAGACTGTCAATGTCACTCTTTTCCATCAAGGTTACATTATTTGTATCTGTGTTAGATAATGGTGGAGTAGGGAATAACATGTCATCATCAACTGAAAACAAAATGAACTTTTTCACAAAGCATTTTCAAATCAAATCAAACAGTTGTTAGAAAAAAGAACAATTTACCTAAATATAGTAATAAAATATATCATGCGCCGTAATACATGTGATGCTCAAAGTTACAAAAGTGAAAAAAAAATCTACTGCGCCACAGTGCTGCATAACTTTAATCTACTTAAAATATTAACAGATAAACACCAACTTCCAAGAACAGCCCCTCCCCAAAGCCATCAAAATACCCGCACAAGAAGTTTTAAAAAAGCATACCAATAATGCAACCTAAGATGGAGATTGGTTTGTACTTCTCATTAAGATTAGGATGGACGGGTTTGTTAACTTACCTGGCCCAAAGGACCAAGTGAGCTATAGGAATACCGCAGCATCTGTCACCAGTCAACTTTCTCTACAAAATGCTGCTAGTCGTTATTGACTGAGGGAATTTTTACTTAATTTGGTCAGATCAGAAGATTCCTTAGGGGAAGGGAGCATCCTCAGGGGAAGGGGAACATTTCTTGTAAAAATGATGTGTTCCGCCCCCTGAGCCTGAGAGACAGGGCCCAAAAGGGGAAATTTGGTAAGTCCTTTAAAATCCTACTTAATCCATAGGAATAATTGGATTTTGTCCCAATTTGGTTTGAAGCATCTTTTGGTGAAGTGGAATAAATTTTGTATAAACATTGGATCTCTGCCCCCTGGATTAGGACAGGGCCAAATAGGGGAGATAGAACAAATTCTTAAAAATCTTCTCCTCCAGTAGGAATGATTCACTTTTGTCCAACTTTGGTGTGAATCATGTTTAGGTGAAGGGGAATCAATTTTGTATAAACAGTGGATCTCGGATCCCCTTGGGTTGGAGGGGCATGGCCCAGTAGGAAAATAGAGCATATTCTAATGATTGTATTTTGTCTAATCATATTAAGGTGAAGGGGAATCAATTTTGTATAAATGGTAGATCACAACCCCTTGAGACAGGAGGGGCTGGGTCCAGTTCATTTGATCTTGTCCCACCCCATGATGGTGTAACCCTGGTAAAATACTAGCTGCAATATACCACTCGGCTAGAGAGAACTTCCCTTTAGCTCGATTGGTTGAGCATCAGACTAGTAAGCCAGGGTCCCGGGTTCGATTCCTAGCGGAGGCATTGAGATGAAAAATGACCTCTGTTACATTGGCGCCCATGTAGGGACCCGGGAATAGTACTTAGCCATGCCCCACCAGTATCGCTGTAACCCCTTGAAACTCGAGGACGAGTTATTTCCTGGAGGGGGAGTATGTAACCCTGGTAAAATACTAGCCACAATATACCACTCGGCTAGAGAGAACTTCTCTTTAGCTCGATTGGTTGAGCGTCAGACTAGTAAGCCAGGGGTCCCGGGTTTGATTCCTAGCGGAGGCATTGAGATGAAAAATGACCTCTGTTACAATGGTTTCGGAGTTCTTTGAAACAGTTGTAATCCCCACTGAATAACTAAAGCATTGCTGAGCATCAGGAGATACACACAGTCACTCATAGGATAAGAATTTGAAACCATTGAGATTACCGTTCCATAACTTTATAGCATTGCTGGACATCAAGAGATCTCTGGTCCCACCCCTAGGAAATTTGACTCTGTATCTGTGGGGTGAGGCTCATAATGGGAAATAAACCAAATCATTTTCTTCTAAAGAAATCTCATGTTTTGCATTATTGACTGAAATACCCAGGTGAGCGATACAGGCCCTCTTGCTCTCTTGTTTTGTCAATATTATGTTCTTAGACAACTGCTCTCAATGGCAGGTTATAGGTATTTTGTTTGCTGTGCATTGAGGTATTTACCAGTCACAACAAGGAGACTCCGACTCTAAATGATCCTGACTTTTCACGGGATGATACACCCAGCGAACAACTTGTACTATGGGTGGTTGGGTGGCACAGTGGTAATGCACTCACCTTTCACCTAGCCGACCAGGGTTCGATTCCCGGAATGGATGTGAAAAGGTATGGGGTCACCTGCCTAACCACGTGGGTTTTCCCTAGCTACTCTGGTTTCCTCTCACAGTATGACCCCTCGCGCGCTTCCACCTGAGCCAACAAGAGTGATTTTTATAAGTTGGAAAAACTTGCTTCGCAATTGTTGTAAAATAAATGAAGTATTTACTATTAAAGTATTCTTTTGCTAGTGTCCTATACTGTACCTTGTGAAGAATTCTGGGTGCGACAGTTTTCCCGTGATGACGTGGAGCTTAATGCGAGCTGTTGACGTAGATGGAGGATTTCTGCTTCCATTGAAGCGTGTTTGTGTTGTAGTTGCTGGTTAGCGTTGTGAAATGCGGAACAGAGACCCTCCGTGAAGGTACGGACTGACATGTTCTTTGGCTTCATGGCACAGCAAGCCACTGCCACGCCTACCTTCATTGAACGCACTTGCTGACAGAGTGAATGTTCTGAAACTATGCAAATGGAGACACCTTACTGTATATCAAAAAGTACACACTTTCTACTAATTTTGAGTATCCATAAAAAGGTTTACCTTGTAGTGATGATTCTTCTGTTTCCATTTTCGTGCAATATTCGGTTTCATCTTAGTTATTTAAACGCTTAAATAAAAAAAAACTTCAACGTCAATGATTTACTCCTTTCAATTCTTTAGACGCTGTCTTATTCAGGTTAAGATATGAATTCGTTTTGCCTGGCTTTGCTCAATAACATTAAAATTGGCTGTGAATAACAACTAATACTTAAAGAATGTATTAACGATTTCAGATACATATATAGAAATGTCGCTCAGAAAACGAAAAATGCTGCGTTTTGTTCATGAAATAGAACAGTTAGCTAGAACTAGTTCAGCTTAATGATTCATTATGCCGTCAACAAATGGTTAATGACTTTCATGGGGTTATAGATACTAAATGGTTTAGTTATGGCTGTGTAGTAGCTTAATCATATCGCGGAGTATTTCAGCGGCGTCAGATTCCCGTGTCGACTATTTTCACGCCGTGCTGAAACATTTTCTAGGCTTGATACAACTGCTACAACTATATACCATTGAGATGAAGGGTGTTGCTAACGAGAAGTGGAAAATTCACAAAAGGGAAATTGAAATCATAACGCTTACCATACAGTTTACACTAGTTCCAAAGTTCCGCAAGTTTTTTTTATTCATAACAAAATTCCAAATTGCAGTAAGCGAGAATTTCTTAGTTTTTTAAATTTATTTTTTCTGTTGTTGTTGTTGTTGTTTTTGCAACAGAGGACGACCAGACAGAAATGATACAACTGAGGACAGAAGACCAGATACAAATGATACAACAGAACGGACGACCAAACACAAATGATACAACATAGGACGGACGGACGTCCAGACACAAATGATACAACTGTGGACGGAAGACCAGACACAAATGATACAACTGAGGACAGAAGACCAGACACAAATGATACAACTGAGGACGGAAGACCAGACACAAATGATACAACAGAGAACGGACGGACGATCAGACACAAATGATACAACTGAGGACGGAGGACCAGACACAAATGATACAACTGTGGGCGGAAGACCAGACATAAATGATACAACCGAGGACGGACGACGAGAGAGACACAAATGATACAACTGAGGACGGACGACCAGACTCAAAGGATACAACTGTGGACGGACGACCAGACATAAATGATATAACTGTGGACGGACGACCAGACACAAATGATAGAACTGAGGACGGAAGACCAGACACAAATGATACAACATAGGACGGACGGACGTCCAGACACAAATGATACAACTGTGGACGGAAGACCAGACACAAATGATACAACTGAGGAAGGACGACCAGACATAAATGATACAACTGTAGACGGACGACCAGACATAAATGATACAACCGAGGACGGACGACGAGACAGACACAAATGATACAAATGAGGACGGAAAATCAGACACAAATGATACAACAGAGGAAAGTCGTCCTAGTTTATTAATCTGTTTGGAGTCTCTCGAGGCTGATAAGAACATAAGTAGAAATATGAAGAGCTTTACAAACAATCCGAACTGTTCCATTTGAACCTTTCCATCCTGCATCTAGCTGGAGGTTTTATTGGAAAGTGAAAAATAGAGAAATCAAAAAGAAGAGACGAAAGAAAAGACAGCGAAGAACTTATGAAAAGCATATTTGCAGAGTACATAGGCTACCATAAGACAGGATTTTTTAAACCTGACAAATTACAAGTAAGGGATCGGATAGAGAAATTCTTGTTAATTTACAGAATTAAAACATAAAAGTTTCATATTATAACCATATATCTCTATCGTCATTTAAAGGCTACATATCAATTGATTTCTGTAATATAGATAACTGTATATATGTGTTATTTGTCTACATATTTGACTTTAAAAAGTGTGTTACTTTTCTTTACATCAATGTTCCTCACTTTATACCGGAATAATCCTAAATCTCCATAAATAAGATCTGCGAATGTTATGTATTATATAATAAACCTAACAATGAAATCTGCGAATGTTATGTATTATATAATAAACCTAGCAATGAAATCTGCGAATGTTATGTATTATATAATAAACCTAACAATGAAATCTGCGAATGTTATGTATTATATAATAAACCTAACAATGAAATCTGCGAATGTTATGTATTATATAATAAACCTAACAATGAAATGTGCTGTTCAGTTGTGTGTTTTTGTACGATCTTCAGTATTACGTGTGTTAAACACTGCTGAGTACCCGATGTGTGCATTCGAATAGCGACCTGGTTTAGAATACTTCGAAACTTAATCAGAAGTTAAAGATGAAGTAAACAGTGGAAATTGATATCCTGTATTGTGTTCTGGTTCTATGATTATAAATTTTTTTTTTTTTTTTTTATTTAAAGTTCATCAAATTTTTCTGTAAGCTGGTCCTTGCTATGGACTGTCAAAGTATTTTCAATTTATATACTAAGGACTAAGCGTCACATCATTTGTCTGTATTTTACGACGGAAATGTAACCGGTCACTATTAAGCAGTTAGGTTTCTCAAGTGTAATACAAATGTACAATTATTTTGTGTCATTTTTTTCTGCTTTTAATTATATATTTATATCTCGTTTCGTCGTTCGACGTTGCAATTGATATAACTTCTCTCTCATCAATGCATCATTCGCTTTTAACAGACAATCTGTAATGATATCGTCTAGTTGTGGATGGCGAATGGAGTTGGAGTTACCGGACAATAAGGCCGACCCACGCGTGACGAATAAGGTTTTTTATCCTGCAACTGGCACTGTGGTTGTCGGAATACATGTGCCACATATTTTTTTGCTGTATTCGGTAGTGGCGGAAAAAATGTAGTTTAGCACGTGCGGTAATTCGACAGAATTACTCTCTGAATTTACTTTACAAATACGTTTAATAATATAAAGAATTGTTGAAATAATCGACATTACATGTTGATTTATGAAAATTCATAAAATCGCTGTTATATCCGACGAAGTTTGGAACTATGTTTCCGCGCGGAGCAATTATTTTGCGTCCGTCATCATATGATGAGTGTGATGATTTTAATTTCCGCCGTTGTGAATTTTCCAATACTAGATAGTAACCTCCCGTCCTTTCAATGCTACGATTTCAACATATAGTATTTAATTCAATATTGAAAGATGTGTTCCCAGTATAGAACTAGATTTACATGGCACGTGTCGCCAATGAGTATAATACGGTTGTCCTTCCAGATCAATTAATCTTATCTTGTACGTTTCAATACTTTCCATGCCAGTTTTATTTTGTTCATATCTTCCCTCGTTTCATCCATCTTGAGTTTGAATACTGAAGATTTGAACAAATATTTTGTAAACATGTAGGTATTTTCTATTAGGTGTTGGTATATCAGTACGAAATATTAAATAATAAAGGTTTACTTTAAAGATAGCTTTTCATTGTTGTAATGATTTCTTTGAGTAAATCTGTTATTGCATTCTGAAACTGTTACTCACAGAATAAAACATTAAGGTATGTGGGAGTGTGCTAAAGGTGTGTACGACTACACAACAAGGCAATAAGGTGGAGAGGTTATCATTGTGTAATAACACAGCGCGTAATATCAAAGTTGGTCGGGAACACGAGTGGTGACTGATGCCTTTACAATAGAGTAGTGCATTGATTTAGGGAAGTAATCATTGGCCCCTGGTGCCTTTATCGTCCATTTACGTGCACAGTGTTTGGTTACTTTATCTTTTTTTCAGTCATTCCGATAAACATTTAGTCCTCCATGCAAAATACTTCGAAAAAATACCTTAAATGGGCATGTATCCAGGTATTGATTTCTAGTTATCGAAATGGCAGTGGGTGTACTTCCGGTTAACCCTCAGTACGTATGGTTAGTTTTGTTAAATGCTCGATCAGTGTCGGCGACGAATTCGAAAAAAATCCATTTATTTTGCTAATGTTTTCAAACAAATATTTTTCAGAAATATCCTTAACTGATGGAATTCTGGTCTTGTAAAAAAATACAACGTAAATATACCAGGTAGTCGTTCCTCAGTTGTCCGATCATCCAGACCAGCGGCAGATAAGTTATCGAGTACTTATTGGCTAATCAGTAGAGATCTATTGCAGTTGTTAGGTAATTCACCGTACACTTTGTGTGCTGTGATGTTATAAGGTCCTACTGTAGGCTACACTGATGGTACATAATGATCAGTCAAGCATGGAGTATAGCTGTGGCCGTATCAGGTATATGTCATTCATTCAAACCTTATTCAAATCGAACATTTTAAGATAATTTTGAGTAAAAAAAACCTCAGAATTTTAATTCGTATTTCAAGTATTGATAATCGTGAGGACGATAATTGATACATAATTAAACAGTTTCAACTACTTAAAGTTCCGAACGAAATTATTTAAGATACGATGTAATATCAAGTATTGAACAATATTATTAATACTGGATGTAGAATATGACTATATAGTATATTTATATTATTAGATATCACACCAGGTACTTAATGAAAAATATCATTCAAAACATGACATTTCATGTTAATTATATATAATTACACTATATGATTATTGCCTTTGATGATGTATCCATGTATCGACTGAAATAAGAGGTTTCTTATAGTGTGACCATAAATTGGCTCTCTCTCTCTCTCTCTCTCTCTCTCTCTCTCTCTCTCTCTCTCTCTCTGTTTCATTGAACTGTATATGTAATGAAAGAAAAAATAATTTGAAAATGTGTAACTAGCATTTTCTAATACATGTACATATATTTTTTCACGGCCGATCAGTATGACCTTTTAACGTCGCATTATCTTAGCGAATCTGATAATATAAAAATTACCTTAAAAAACCCGAAAGACACGAAAGTGTTCTATAAGTGACCATGAATATAGGATCTAACAGGAGTTCCGATTTATCAG